AAAGATGCCAAAGATCAAATCGTTAACTTATGAATGAGACATTTTATCTTCTCATGTCTCTAAAGAAAAAATATGAGAAGATTTGATTATGTTTGTTAGTATGGTTTTAAACAAGCTCCAAAACATTGCTTTAGAAGAAAAATGCAAACGAAACTAAAAACCCGAGTATGGCACCTCCAGAAGCAACTCAAGTAGTTGTCATCTTCTCATTAAGAATCATTGATGAAACATAAATAAAACGACAAATCCAGATCACAGAGATTTTTACCAAGCTATGGATAAAAGGACAGTTCCTGTTATTGATCAAGAATATGCTGACATCCAAAGTTAGCACAGTCCAGCAACATCTAAATTTATGTCTCCAACAGCTTCAACGGAGTCTAGAGTTTATATGACCAACAAAAATGAAAGCGTCCAAGATGGGAGAAATATATAAGTTTTGAAAAAGGCTTACTGAATGTGACAGAAATTCAGTAATAACTCAATGGTATCTGCAGGAAATACACCTGGACCTGTGAAAATGCTCGCTCTTAGTCATGGACGATATGCCAAAGACATTGATGAATTCCGTACAAATAAGGTATGCAGTTGGTGTAACCACTACCAGCTTTCAAGAGGACGGGAAAACTCCATTGAACGTCACCGCCAACACTATGATTCGAAAATAGTACTTTAAAATTTAAAAATGTCACTGCCCGCATGAAGAAAAGATCAGCAAACATAATGATAGAAAAAAGGTTACTAGTTTCACTATAATTCGTAAAAAAAAATAAACAACTTCCTTACTTCATTTGTTAATTTTCATGAATTTATCAGTGCTAAACAAGTTATTTGCAAACGTGGTAAAACTATTTCATTTGGAAGCAATTATCAAGTTGCAATTTTAAAAAACATTCAGAGTAAAAATTGTAATTTTTTGTGGAGAACCAGCCTTGAATTGAAGCATGTTGGTTAAAAAGAAAATCTCATGGAATATATTGATAATGGTCTGTGAGGATTGAGGAATGAAAACATGAATATGTGTCGAGTCTTTGTGATTTAAAATATATTAATTATGTCATAAATAGCAACTTTTGGTGTGACAAAAGACCTGAAAATGATGCAAAAACAACTTTTTCCTAAAATTTCCTGAAAACAGACCTTTTTCTAGTAAAAGTCTTAATAAAATAGAAAGACAAGAGTTTGAAAGAGCATTAGAAGCTGAGGCAGCTTGGTGTTTGGACAAAGAAAATTTAGCAGTTTACTATATCCAATGTAAAAAAATATGTAAACCAATCAATAAGGTAAAAGACAAAGCATGCAGGATTTTTGGATAATATATTTCTATTAAAGTTTATATTTCAATATCTCAACAATATTTTTCACGTGAAAACTTGATAGGCAATTCATAAGATGTTACGCTCATATTCCAATTTGAATTCTATTAAAATTTTGAATGTCAGGCCATATTTGATTCGCATCAATAGTTAAATGTTGCTACGCATAATAATAATTATAAAAAACAAAATTCGAATTTATATGTTTGATTGTTTGATTTGGCGGTGACACACAATAGAGTTTTCCCGGTCCTCTTTCAAGTGGGGCTTCGTTGTGAAATTTATAGTGTGTGAATATCCTAACACACTTTGTCGCATAGCATGGAATCGATTAATTAATCATCCTTCAAACATTTTTGACAGTGGCATGGGCCGAATATTTTTAGAAGAAATAATAGTAATAGAAACACATAGTAATAGTAATTAAATAGATGGCCATTTCCGGGAATGTCCAACAGTAGATGGTTCGCTGCAATGTAGTTTTGTTACCATTTACATATACATTTTTACATATTAATGTACATTTTTATTTTAACATTTATTACATTATTACATTTATATTTACATATATATATTTATATATTATCATATGTATTTATTTATATGTTCATATATTACCATATTCATATTTATATTTTATTTATATATACATTTACTACATCATGCCGAATTGAGATGACGCCAATCTTTTATCACAAAATGGTTTTTTTGTATAAAATAAAAAAAATTTATTCATTTAGTCTTTAGAAACAACCTTATTGTTATCGAGAATTATGGCAGAAGCACCCGCTCTCAGTGTACAAATAGTTCGTGGTTTAAACGATAGAGTTTACGAGAAACGTAAAGCAGCTGCATTAGAAATAGAAAAGTGGGTGAAAATGAATTCAAAAAAACTAATTATAGCTTAACATTTAAAAAGAAAATAAAAAAAAATTGAATTAATTATTTTTTAGAATTTTTATTATTTTAACATACATAATAACAACCTTTCACCCTTTTTTTATTTTTTATATTTGTATATATATCTAATAGATTAATTAGAACGCATTTTGCTTCTAATAATGTAGAAAAAATTAAAAGTATTATTGAAAAACTCACTCAAGATTTTGCTTACTCTGCACATCAAAATTCACGTAATGGAGGTCTAATAGGTTTAGCAGCAGCCGCAATCGCTTTAGGGCCTGTATGTATCAAAAAAAATTATATTTACAATAGACAAGATATATATACATACACATATTAATATCATTTATTTTGAAAAATAGGATGTGGCACCCTATTTAGATGATATTGCTACGCCAGTTCTTCATTGCTTTACTGACCAAGAATCACGCGTAAGATATTATGCGTGTGAAAGCATGTATAATATTGCAAAGGTTTCTAAAGGCGAGATTTTGAGATATTTTAATGAGATTTTTGATGCAATGAGTAAGGTAAAGAAAAAAAATTTTTTTTTTTGATGAATTAAATTATCATTACTTCATATCTAACCATGTACCTTAAAATATATGGGAGCCATTCTAACAAAATCAGGTCTGAGACTCGTTAATCAAATTTGAAATAAACAAGTCTCAGACATTGATTTTGCTGGATTATATCCCATGTACATATATATATGCATGCGTTTCACATTTATAGCTAGCCGCAGATGCTGACTTACCAGTGAAAAATGGAACAGAACTATTGGATAGGTTAATTAAAGATATTGCAGCAGAACAATCAACCACATATGTTTCAGTTTTAGATGCCCCAAGCCTTGTTTCAAATGACGATCAAGATTTTTCAACGGATCCAATGAATATCCCAAGAACCACAGCATTTTCATTACCAAAATTTATTCCATTGTTGGCTGAACGTATTCGTGTTAAAAATCCATTCACACGATTGTTTTTAGTTTCATGGATTACAGTATTAGACTCAATACCAGATCTTGAATTGGTTTCTTTTTTACCAGATTTTTTAGATGGACTAATAAATTTTTTGAGTGATCCCAATGAAGCTGTGTGTGTTTCAACTTCCAACGTCTTGGCAAATTTTTTAACAGAAATACGTGAAGCTGTTGAGGTTAAAGAACAACAAAAACAACAAGCTATGAAAATCTTTTATGTTGAACAACAACGAAAATTTGCAAATTTATCTGAAAATAATAGCGAAACAGGCGATAGCTTGAAAGATGGTACTGTTACCAATAGCAGCGTTGATGATGATAACTCTACTTTGGTTAAATCAGTTGATGCTGGTGATGCCTTTTGGGATTCTATATCTATAAGTGAGATGGAGGGTAAAGGTAAAGGAACCTGGGTCCCAGGTCAAAGTGTAGAGATCAATTTTACCAGAATTATTGAAATTTTAATGCCACATTTAAGTTCCTCAGGTATTATAAAACAATGAGAATGTATTTGTTTGAATAGTTTTGTTGGGATATTGAAGATTTAATAATAATATGATTATTATTCATTTATAGTTGAACAAATTCAAGAAACAGCATTGAAATGGATAAATGAATTTATTAATATTGCTAAAGAAGTGGTCATCAGCTTTACACCTCAATTAATAAGTGCTGTCTTACCCTCCTTGGCTCATTCAGTTCCAAATATCCTTTCATACCAATGTACACAGTTCATATATGTGTATTCAAATATTTGTCTATTTGCTTGTTTTCTTCAGAACATTGAAATATAACTTCCTTAACAGATTATTATTAATATTATTATACAAATTAGAAATTGTGCCATAGATGTCAACAAAAACCTTCATAAAATGATCTTAGAAACACCAAATTTTACCAATACTTCTTCTGCCTTACATTCAACTTTTCCAAAGGACCATAATAATAACAAAAACGACAATATCAATAATGATGATGGTGATATTAATAACCAATTGTCAACAATCTCACATAACAAATTTTCAAAATCAACCAGTGTAGATGTAAAAATTGATTCAAATAGTGTTGTAGATACGTCACCTTTAATAGAGGAGGAAGTTGATCCTTTTGATTATCGATCAACAGTTAGATCATTGGTGGATCAATTTATTAACAGCCATGAAGAAACAAGAATTGCAAGTTTAGATTTGTTGATAATGCTTCATAAAAAAGCGCCCAAAAAGGTTTTTATTATTTAAAGAAAAAATAATTAATTAATTAATATAAAAAAAAATTTTTTAACAAACAATTTAAATTTATTTAATTTACAGATACTTGCTTTTGATGATGGGTATTTTCCAAATCTATTGGAACTTCTCTTAGATCCATCAGAAGAAGTTGCAAAACGTGATCTTCAGCTTCTTGCACAATTATCTTCAAGTTCTCAAGATGAATATTTTCCAAAGTTTATGGTTGACTTGTTGAAATTGTTTGCTACTGATCGCAAATTATTAGAAAACAGAGGAAGTCTAATTATTCGGCATTTATGTCTGAGTCTTAATTCAGAAAGGATATACATGAGTTTTGCTGAGATTTTGGAAAAAGAAGAGGTTAAAGTTTTAAATACTCTTTTTTATATCAATCAATATGAACCATTTATTTAGAAAAAAAATTTTTTTGTTATAAATTGTAGGATATAGAATTTGCTTCAAATATGGTACAAAATCTCAACAGTATACTTATAACGTCACCAGAACTTTCAGATTTAAGAAGAAGATTAAAACACTTGGAGGCAAAGGATGGACAAATGTTGTTTACAGCATTATATAAATCATGGTGTCATAATCCAGTTGCAACATTTTCACTTTGTTTATTAGCTCAAGCCTATGAACATGCCTCGAACCTTTTGCAAAATTTGTATTTTTCAATTCTTATTTATTTATTATTTATTTATTATTATGTTTTATTCGTAATATCGCTTATTTAAACATTTATTTATTTTTAGTGCTGAAATAGAAATCACCGTTAATTTGTTGATCCAAGTTGATAAACTTGTTCAATTATTGGAATCGCCAGTTTTTACCTGTAATTATCCAAAAGAAATTTCGATTTATTTCTATTTGTCAATTGATTGATTTTTTCAATTTGTTGTTAATTAATTGATTTCTTATTCTAGATCTCAGATTACAACTACTTGAACCAGACAAATACCCACATTTGGTAAAATGTTTATATGGATTATTGATGTTATTACCACAAAGTAGTGCATTTGCAAGTTTAAAAAATAGGTTGACAAGTGTCAGTTCTATGGGATTTTTGCATTTAATGCCAAAAAGGTTAATATTATACACACATGCATACATACATACATATGTATATATATGTACAATAAAAAGATATCAGATCATTAAATTTTTTTAAAAATTTTTTATTTAATAAGTCCAAATGATTCAAAAAAATCAATTAGTAAATTATTATCATCAAGAGATGAAGGAATTAGGTTCCAAGATTTGTTGACGCATTTCAAAACGGTTCAAACAAAACATGAAACAATTCGTAAACAAGGTAATTTAAATATAATATTTAACGTTTTTTGATGATTGAATGAATAAATATTGGATAAGATTTGTTTATGATTAATTAACCGCAATCAATTATATTTATAGCTCGTACTATTAAGAAAAGTAATACTACACGTAGAAGAAGAAATCAAGATTAGATATTTCCCTTATATATTTATTTTTTCTCTTTGTAACTATTTAAATACATAGACTTTTTATATTTATTTATTTATTTATCTATTTGTTTGTTTATTATTGTATTAGTATGTGTGTATATATATTTATTCATTTTCATTTATTTTTATCATAAGAGACATTTTTTTAAATAAACTATTATTATTATATACTATTACTATTTATTAAACTTGCAAATTCGAATTGTATATTTAAATCGTTTATTATTGTTGTTAAATGGCTGGTCAGAAAAATCAGAAAGAACAAATTTGGAAATGACTTTTTTAAAAAATAATCAAAAAACAAGCTGTTCAATGATGATAGTAAAGTTTCAAAGATAGCTTCTTCTGCTAATAATGACAAACAACAACAACAAAATATTTATCCAGTTCATAGGGCAACTCCTTCTACTAATTCCAACTTGTCTTCATCAAAACTTTCATCAAATTCATCTGAAACAATCACTTCTTGAAATAAATATTAATTATACACAAATTTAAAATATATCTTAAAAAACGCGTAAAAATCTTACTATGTAGATCAGTGCCAAAAATAGATATAAAAAAATAACCCTCTGTTAAAGTAAGGGATGCGGTATGTATTGACATCAAATATAAATTAATTATATATTTAATGTTCTTATCATATATCTTGTCGCTTTTATTTTTTCATAGGCTTATCCATTCAATCATTATACGCTTTTATATTAGTGATAGAAATATTAAAAGAAGTAATAGGATCATTATTATTACTGTTATAGTTGGTTTAACAACATCTATTTGGATTTTATTACTAACGTTAACGTTAAACATCATTGTTATCACAAAGTCTATAGTTGAACACATTCATAAATTTATAATGGAAAATTTTAACAATTCGCAACAAATATAACCCGGATGAATGAATATGCACCACTTGATGAAGTGAGCAATGCCAGTTATGCTAATTGTACAGATAATCCAGGTATACTAGCAACAACCTCCACTACAAGTGAAGATGTAAACTATGATGATAATGATGATAATAGTGACGGTTGTAATATTTTTATCAAAGATTATCACAACATTTTAGAGTATGAGGACATTAAATATTTAATGGAAAATTTAAAGATTTTTTTTTGTTAATTTATAGTGAGTATAATTTGTTTTATTAAATTGCAAACAATAGCACCATTATCTATATTTTTTATTTTTTATTATTATAGAAAAACATTGGTATCTTTATGTGTTGGACCATCCTTATGACGGCATATACAGATGCAATTGTAAGCCTCGCAAGAGAGTATATTATTATAATTAATGACAACAGATTTGTTGTCAGCAGATCTAGACAACTTGATTTATTTAGATTCTTGTGATTTTTCATCAATTACAAATAAAGATACAAAGGATTATGGAATTTTAGATAGCGATAAAAATTCCAAAGTATCATTGGCAGTTGTGTGATTGTTGATATAGAAAATGGCCAATTTACACATTGTAAGAAAAAAGTATGTAGGCCAATTAAACAATCAATGGGTGCGTGAGAAATTAATACAGAAACAGTTATTGATGCTCTAGAAAAGATAAATAAAATGCTATGATCAGCTTGGAGTTTATCAAGCCCACTTCCATATTGATCAAAATGGTCCCCATGAACCTGGATCAAGACGTCAAGTATCCATTGAAAAAACTGGATACATAAGAGGCGTTGTCTTTTAACATTTTATCCAAGTTTCCAAATAATAAAAGAAAAGATGAAAGCGAACAGCAATAATAAAGTTATTTAACTAAATCATCAAATAAATTTTTATCGAATCAAAAATTTTCTTTGAATTCTTCGCAATTAAAACCTTTGAAAATGACTCAACCATCATTATGATCCATTAAAAAGCGTGTGTATATCACTACTGAAAAGAAATGCGAATCATGTTTATTTAAAACAAAACAAGTTTTTAATAGGAGGTTGCTATGAGTTCGTGTATATAGTCATTAAACAAGTATGGAATTTCCGAAAATTTAATACATTATAAATTACATTCAATTTTTCAATACAAATATATTTTCTTTTACAACGTTGTTAATTTTTGCAACCATGGCCTCTAATCTTTTAAAACTGCCCTAGAAATTTTTAATTGAGAATAATCAAATCAAGGATCTGTAGTTTTCCTAATGTGGGATGGGAGGGAGCTCGACTAATTGAAACAACTTGTCCTTCTGCTAACATACTTTCATCAATGTTCAATGTTATGTGTGGTAGGTCAATCCTTGAGTTTTATGAATAGCCAGAGCAAATGCATTCTGAAGAGGAATTGTTTTCTTGAACTTTCTCGTTTGGTAAATTTAAAAATTTAGAATGCCCGATAAAAAATTTGGGAATCAAACATTTTCCGAGCATCCAAGAACAATTAAAGAAAGCAAATGAAAGGTTGGAAGAGACAGGAGGTGGAAAGAGAGGTGGAAAGAGAGGTTGGACAGGTTAAAGAGGAAGAATGTGGAAGAATGTTAAAGGAGGAATTAGAATGAGTTAAAGAAAGAAGAAATGGTCGAGAAGAAGAGGTTAAGAGGTGGGGAGGCGTTACGAGAAATCGGTAGAAAGAAATCGTATAAAAAATATACAAAAATTATTTTCCATTTCGTTTTATTTATTTATTATCAATTTGAGGTATTAGTATAATGGTATAGGACCCGGTGCAAAATATTCAATGACCTCATATGTTTAGTTTGCTTATATTTGCGTATTTTATATTAGGCAAAAAATATTTAAACCAAAATTTGAATAAGTTCCGGCATCACATGCATAGTAATAGAAATAAAATTCCCAAGATTTTATCAAGTATGGGTATATTTCTAAGCTGAAAAGATTCCTCGCCTCAAACTGCATATAACTGCATTATTATTATTCCAAAAATAACAAAAAAAAATTGACTGATTATTTAAAGTGCGTGTTTTCACATGATTTAATGCTACAAAGATATAACAACCATTTATCACCTGATCAAACCTAGTGGCAATAATTCTGACATACCATTATTATTATATTATTGATGCTTTGTATTTGAATTGTGTTAATAGCATTATTGGTATTATTATAATCAATATTGTCATGAAGTGGATGCTTAATTGATTCATGATGTGATTTATGTTTAAGAAAAAATCAGTGTCTTTAGAATGATCAATAAATTGTTTAATGAGATAGTGTTGGTAATTTTGATTTTTTCCCAGTCTATTCTCTCTTGCTGTAGAGCCATTCCATGGCTTTATAAATTCCCAATTCTCTCAAGTTCACTATAGATTTTGGTGAAGAAACTTCCTTAAAAGGCAAAGATGAGCTTGAAGATTACTTGCTTAACGAGACCCTCTCAACAAAGTAGAGTCCACCCACTTTCCAGTGAGTTATTATCCCAGGTGATTATAGTACTGAGTTCAAGTGTGTTTTAACCTTTAGGTGTATTAAATAAGCTTGTTTTCATGGTCTTTGGTATTATCTTTTTGTAAAATTATTTTTATTTCTATGTAAATCACAAAATGTTGAATTGTAACACATATCATAAAAGAAAAGATTTCGTCATCATTTCTTTTTAAAAATTTTTTTGAATTCCAAAATTTTCTATTTTCCCTATAAATAAAATATGAGCTCCATAGGAACAGGCGTAGGTTATTACTCAAAGAATTGTTGGCATTTACAAATTAAAGACTAATCAAAGACTAATTAATTAAAATTTGATTAATTAATGCTTTTATTTATTAGTATGATATTTCAGTTGCCACATATTCACCTGATGGGCGTGTATTTCAAGTTGAATATGCAGCAAAAGCTGTAGACAACAGCGGGTACATTATTAAAATAATGAAATACTATATGCATAAATGAACGAATGAATAAATAAATAGATAGATGTTTTTGTATGCATAATCTATTTTAAAAATGCTATTTTAGAACCGCGATTGGCTTACGTGTTAAGAATGGAGTAGTTTTAGCAGTGGAAAAATTAAATCAATCAAAATTACTAGTTCCAGGATCAAATCGTCGAATTCAAACTGTTGATACTCATATTGGAGTAGTAAGTTCTTGTAATATATCATATATATATATAATTTATTATTTATTAGGAATAGATTTGATTTATAAATAAATATATACACATGTTTGTTTTTATTTGTGTAATTTTTAGGCAACAGCAGGATTGTTAGCTGATGGAAGACACATTATTAATAGAGCAAGGGATGAAGCAGAAGGTTATCGAGATACATATAAAACACAAATTCCTGGAAAAGTAAATTTTTTGATCTGTTCTAAAAAATAATTATTTATAAAATAATGATGATTAATCAAAAAATCTATTATTTCTATAGACAATAGCTGATCGAGTAGGACAATATGTACAAGCATATACATTATATTCAAGTGTTCGACCATTTGGAAGTAGTGCTATTATTGGAACTTTTGATAAAGATGGTCCTCAACTTTATATGGTTGAACCTTCAGGTGTATACTGGGTAAAAATCATAATAAAAAAGTTTTTTTATGTACTGGTAAATATTTTTATTTATTTGATTTCTCATTAAAACTTTTTATAAAATAGGGATATTATGGATGTGCTATTGGTAAAGGAAAACAAATTGCCAAAACAGAACTTGAAAAGCTTGTTCTTTCAGAAATGGATGTTTTGGAAGCTGTAAAGGAAGCAGCCAGAATGTAACGTTGATTAATATAAAAAAAAAATTTTTTTATTTTTATTTACTGTATTATTGATTATTTGTCAATATATGAAAATATGTTCAGTATTTATACAGTTCATGATGAAGCAAAAGATAAAGATTTTGAATTGGAATTGAGCTGGATCACAGAAGATGATCAAAAACATCGACTTGTACCCAAAGATATTTTTATTGAAGCTGAAAGATTGGCAAAGGTACAATGATAAAGTCATTATTTTAAATACATATAATATTGTGTGACTAATTCATAAATCTTTTTGGGGATTAGGAATCACTTAATCAAG